AGGTACAGCCCACATCTCCCCTACATGAATCTCTGGGTGAACATTTTTTCCCTGCAGGAGCAGCATGACTCTAGGTGGTTTCTCTGTATCTGAGGACAAGCTCTGTAGAGATGACAAAGGGGTCTTCGGTCCTCTCAGGCAACCACTCAAAACGCTGCCAGTTCGTTCTGTCCAGCCCTCATGGACATCCTTCTCTGTGCTTTGCCTTTTACTGTGGAAGACCTCACTGAGACATTTCAATTCACCGAGAGTCAGTTCTCTCTGCTGTAAAATGGGACAATAGAGCAACACACCTCACCAAGCTGTTATAAGGATTAAATGCAATCATGCTCGCCTAGGCAGCCAGCACGGACCTGACCACACAGTTCTGTTCTCGCTGCCACATTGTTCTGTGCACGTTAGCTCTGACATCTCAGTAGAGCGTAAACTCCTTGAGAAGGGGGAGCACATCTTTTTTTTTTTTTTTTTTTTTTTTTTTTTTTGAGATGGCGTTTCGCTCTTGTTACTCAGGCTGGAGTGCAATGGCGCGATCTCGGCTCACCGCAACCTCCGCTTCCTGGGTTCAGGCAATTCTCCTGCCTCAGCCTCCTGAGTAGCTGGGATTACAGGCACGCACCACCATGCCCAGCTAATTTTTTGTAGTTTTAGTAGAGACGGGGTTTCACCATGTTGACCAGGATGGTCTCGATCTCTTGACCTCGTGATCCACCCGCCTCAGCCTCCCAAAGTGCTGGGATTACAGGCATGAGCCACCGCACCCGGCGGAGCACATCTTATGGTTTTTCCCTTACCTCCTTCCTGGTGCTTGGCACAGGGTGGGGCACATGAATAGAGCTCACTCAACATCCACTGAGCAACTTACATTTCTATTTTTATTCAAGAGGAAATATCAATTCTGGATGTCACTTTTGATGCCAGAGAAACTGGCCATTCCCTTTTCAGCCCCCTGTTTTATCCTGTACCAGTACAGGGCTCCAGACACAGCTGCTCTCAGTGATACTGATGGCGAGACCATGAGATAGAGTCACAGATAATCCCGCCTGCCCAGAAGTCTGACAGTGCCAGGTACGGACAGCCAGACTGAAAGCCCAGCATCACCAGGAGGGGCCCCAACAGGAAATGTGACTAGGGCTCCTCTGCAGTGTCAGGACTCCAAGACTGGTGCCAGGGGTCAGAACAAGAGATGTTCTGATGTCCTCATGCCTAATGACCTGTGTCTTGATCCCTGGTAACAGAAGGCAGGAAGTCCAGAGGAGGTAAATGAACATGGACTCAAAACATATGCCTTCAGCCAGGAGGTACCCAGCACCCTACCACCCATCTCTCTCCCCCTCCCACTGCTGACTAACAGAGTTAAAAAAACACATCCTGGGAAAGGCAAACACACTGAGCAAACAGCACTTGACTTTCAAAGCTCTCCCCAAGGGCTCTTCCCTTTCCCATCCTCCAACACCCTCTTCCAGGGACCAGCCTGGGCTGCTCTGTTTCTCTCTCTAGGTCACTTGGACAGGTGAGGGGTCCTGGGCGGGCTCCTGCTTGGCTCCAGAGCCCCTTACTTTTTTTTGGAGTCATCTCAGCTCTTGACAGCATGTCCCTAGGTCCTCCCGGCCCCAGGCCCATCACAAAGCCATGTCTTGTCTTCTGGGGGCCCTGGAGGACAACGAGTACCCACTAGGTAGGCTTCAGTAGGCTAGCCTGGGAACACAGGCATCTTATGATGCTATTTATATAAGAAAACGTGTCTCAGGCTGCAGTATGGAAGGCAGGAAATGAGTACAAATTTCTTAGGAGCAGTCAAAGCAGATGTCACTTGCTCCCACTATATGACCTGAGGCTGCCTCTACTTCGCTGCTTGCTGTGCCGGGAATTTTGGGGACCCGGTGCCCTCACTTTCCTTGCTGCTTCCCTTCCCTCTCTCCATCTCAGCAATAGCAAGTCAGCTCCAACCTACTCTGTCATTGCTGGGAGAGGAAATCCCCCGGCTACTGGTAGAAGCCGTCACTCACCTCGGCAGCTGCTCTGACTGCTGGGAACTGTCTCTAAACCTGCATATAAGTGAGGGGTTACTGTTCACATAACCAGCCCCCAGGGGCAGGCAGAACTGACAGAGAGAAGGTTGAAGTGGGCCTGGGGCTGAGGACACTGGCTTTTCTGAGCTCGCCACATGTTCCTTCCCAATTTCCCCTGTTTAAGGAGTGTTTAGCCTGAGTGTGTTTGGAGGCTCTGAGCACCACAGGGTGAGGGATGAGGATAACGGGGAGACATCAGGAACTTGGAGCATCTTGGTGAATAATCCAGGGAACAGTGGCTGCCTGCCAGGCTCACAGCTCCATTCTGAGAAAATCAAATTCTAGCAGGGCTTTCTGCATAAAATACATGGCTTGTGCCATGTATGGTGAAGGGCCTAGCCACTGATGCCTGGACCACATTCCCTGCCTGAGGCATAGGACGCCATGGTCTGGCTGGACACAGGGAGCTGGACACTTGGGGTATTCATGGCCAGTCCTATTCTGTGAGAACATTGTTGTGGGATGTTTCCCCAGTCCCCTAGACAGGGACATGCCTTGCTGCCCATGTTTCCAAATTGTCTTGGGGAACAGGACAGCTTGATGGCCACCTAGCTCCATCAGACCCTCTCTCTAGGCAGCAAGAATGACAAGAATACACAGATGACCTGAGTGACCGTCTCATTCTCCATGAGGCTTGCTGTATGGGTCTGTCTGGGAAATACTACCATCATCCCCTCCATTACCACCTTCCCTCCCCAACCAGGTATGTCTCTTCCTGACACCAAAAGAACCAATTTTAGCTGGAGGAGGTGGTCAGTAGCCTCTCTTAAATTCTTTTCCTATTTTGTTTTACTTTTTTTTTTTTTTTTTTTTTTGAGACGAAGTTTCACTCTTGTTGCCCAGGCTGGAGTGCAATGGCACGATCTTGGCTCACTGCAACCTCCGCTTCCTGGGTTCAAATGATTCTCCTGCCTCAGCCTCCTGAGTAGCTGGGATTACAGGTATGCGCCACCACGTCTGGCTAGTTTTGTATTTTTAGTAGAGACAGGGTTTCTCCATGTTGGTCAGGCTGGTCTTGAACTCCTCACCTCAGGTGATCCATCTGCCTTGGCCTCCCAAAGTGTTGGGATTACAGGTGTGAGCCACTGCGCCTGGCCTCCTTTCCTATTTTCTACTCCTGTTAGGACCCTGAGATTTTTTTCTCCTAAGAGAAAATACCCTCATAATGGCACCCTGTGGTATCCTAAGTCTTCTTCACCCCACAGAGGCCCCCAGCAATTTATGGAAAATAGCCCGAGGCCAGGAGTTAAGAGACTTTGGAAGATCTAGTCAGAGCCATGCTGCTAATCTCAGGAGGGATCTGAGGAACACACTGCCTCTGGGCCTTAATTTCTCATCTGTAAAATGGTTCTACCAACTTACTCTCCTTGCCACATTCTGTGTAATCCCCACACATATGTCTTCTAATTCACAAATTCTCTCTTCAGCTATGCTAATTCATGTAACCTGTACACTGAGCAGGTTTTAGTTTCTTTTTTGTTTTCTTCTCTGCAGCAGCTTCCATTTGGCCATAACAACTCTTAGACTGGACAGGTCAGGGAACTACTGTGAAGTCAGCTGGTTGCTAAATATCTACATCCCAATTATGAACTTGGGAAGTAACCACCACCGGACGGGTCCATGGAGCCACGAGACCAACTGAGATAAACTTGGGCCAGGACTCCGTGGATCACCCAACCTCCATAAGCCCTCACTCTGGCCAGGGAACCATTGTTCACGGAATCAATTTCAATAACTAAAATTTCAATTTCTAAAAAATCTTTTAGTTCTTTTCTCTCAATACTTTCCTATATGGACTTGTGGGTTTTACATCCTCTTTTAGCTTTTTAATTACATAAAAGATACTTATTTTATTTTCTGTCTTAAATTATTCTATCATCTCCAGGCTTTGAGAGACTCATTCTGTTTTTTTGCATCTGTGGACTTTCACTCTGGTGATGCATTTTCCTCTTATGGTTTTTTTTTCTTTCTTATTACCTCAGTGTTCAACAGGAGTGTTTGCCATAACAGTTCCATATTCTTGGCTGGGCATGGGGGCTCACGCCTGTAATCTCAGCACTTTGGGAGGCTGAAGCGAGCAGATCACTTGAGGTCAGGAGTTTGAGACCAGCCTGACCAACATGGCAAAACCCCGTCTCTACTAAAATTACAAAAATTAGCCAGGCATGGTGGTGCATGCCTATAGTCCCAGCTACTTGGGAGGCTAAGGCAGGAGAATCGCTTGAACCTGGGAGGTGGAGGTTGCAGTGAGCCGAGATCGTGCCAGTGCACTCCAGCCAGGGCGACAGAGTGAGACTCCATCTCAAAAAAGAAAAAAAGTTCTATATTCTCTGTAAAATGGTTTTAAGTATGTGGGACTCTAGGACTTTTACCAGTTTTAATCTTTTTCTTTTTCCTTGGCTTGGGGTTCCCAAACTACTTGGTTAATATAAATTCAATCCCTACACCAGTGAGTACCTTCAGCTTGGGCTTCTGATATTTAAGGATAACTAGTCTTTTTCTTTTGCATGGCCCCAAGTGGGTAGAAGCTTTCTTGTAGCTTCCCCAGGGTGATGATAGCTCAGTCTGACTTACTGAAAAGTCTTCATTCTTAGGAGAGTTCAAAACTGTGGTCATTTACTTGTTTGCTGCTCCCTGTCAATAACATATCAGTTCCATGAGGAATGAGACCTCGTCTGTCCTTCTCATCACTGTAATCTGAAGGCCAGCACAGTGTCCAGCACATAGCAGGCTTTCCATGCATGTTGTTGGACAAATGAATGAAGAGTGCTTTGATTTCTGGGAGTTCAGATATCAGAGCCAGTTTGAGGCTTCCTCACTGAGTCAGATAATCTTGAAGGCTCCTGCTTCTGTCCCCGCACCCCCTCACCTGAGCCCTCTCCTTACATGTAGGCAGCAGCACCCAGGGCTGGCTTCGTGGGGTGAACTCACTGGAGATGGAGGTATAGATGGCAAAGGCCCTGAGGCTGGTCATCTCCTTCCTGCGGGTCGTCTCCACCCGCGTGCAGAAGATGTTCTCCCAGGCGTACAGCTTCAGCAGCTTGATGCCACGGAGCATCTCGTTGGTCTGCTTCAGCCGCTCATTGGAATACTCCTGCAGAGGTCCCCAAGTCAGAGGGGAGATGAGTCAGATGGAGCTTCTGCTCCATTCCCCGCCCGAGAGGAAGGCCTGAGTGTCAATGCTGTCACCACCATGCTCGGCTCCTCTCCCCGAGGGGTGGCAGCCCCCTCCCCCATTAACTCCATTTCCCAGACAAAGAAGCTGAGGCCTGGACAGGTGAAGGGGCCTACTCAAAGTCAAAGTCAATGACAATGTGGGTGTCTGGGAGGAGACCTGCTGCTCTCGGAGGAAGGAGGGGAAGAGGGGCACAACACATACGCCTTTGGACACTCACCAGTGTGCTCCGCTGGGCCTGAGACAGCTTGGTGGCCACGAAGTACTGGACAGGAGCCAGCAGAATGATGACAGCTGCTCCAATTAAGGCACTGACTCCAAGGATGTAGTAGAGGAGAATCACACCCACGATGATCTGAGGAAGGGTTCATGGGGATGAGTTCCCTTTGACCTGGTGGTTGCCCTGCCAGGGGGTGTTGGCAAAATCCCCATTTCCCCAGTCCCCTAGAGTGAGACATGCCTTGGTGCACAGGTTTCCAAATTGTCTTGGGGAGTGGGGTGCAGGGAAGGAGGGGAAACAAAGCAATTTCATAAGGAGATTAGCATAATGGGCTGTCACACAAGCAGAGGGTTGCTGGGCTGGTAACTAACTGCATTTATCTGCAAGGCTGGCTAAAGCCTTAACTCTCTCCAGTCTATTTTCCAGATGGAAATCTCAGAGCTAAGATTGCACAATGTTTGTGACAGTAGCTTTTGTTCTGTTTGGTGGCTCTCAGGGCTTATGGTTCACTATCATTGGAAAAAAGTGATACCTGAGCAAAGGGGCAAAGCTGCTGCACCCATGCCAGAGGAAACCAGCCCGGGTTCTGAGAATTCACTTTTGATTCTTATGCTCCTGGTTTAATTTTTTTAAATGAATCCGCCAGGTAAATCTGAAAAGAGAATTCCTTCTGTGTCTAGCTTTATGTAAATGACTGCCCACTTCTGAATATTTATGAGAAGTGTAAATTGCCAGTCCCCAAAGTGCAAAGATGACAGTTTCTCAGGTTGCCTTCAAAGGCAGACACCACTAAATACAGGGCTTTTTCTCGAAGAACAGATGTGCTAGCTTCCTGATCTAAAAGAAGAGAGAGAGAAAAAAGACTGCTTGCCTTGGTCCTGTAGTCCCAGAGCCCTACAGCAGACTGGCATTAAGCTCCCAGCACTGCCTCAAGGTTAGAGGAGTAAGTGGGAGGCCCTGTAACTTAATTACAGGGTGCCTCCTGGCTTAGCAGGCATCTTAGAGGGTAGGAAGTGGCCCCTTCACCACCTGCCTCCCAGTGTTTGACAGGTGTTAGGTGCTGGCACAGATGGGCAGAGGACCACGTTAGGAGATGAAGAACCCTATTCCACAGCCTGCCCTGCACCATCCCCCTCCTGGACTTATCTCTGGCAACCAGTCCTTCATTAGCACCTAGAACTGTGGCTGGCATGTAGTTGGAGATCAATACAAGGTGGCTTACACTCCTCTCAGAAAACAAATGAAAAAGCGTCATGGGAACTCTGTCCCAGGAGGGCCACATAAAGGAGATATATGAGTAGGATGTTGCCACTGGTTCACTGTGTGGCCCAGGGTAAGGCCCCGTCCTCTCTGGACCTCTGATATTCATGAGATTGGGAAACACAGAGGCCTCCATTATAGCTAAATTCCTTAGCCTGGTGTTCTTGATAAATGTCAGGGAGCACCCACGAAGCCTCTGAAATTGCAGCCAAAATGTTTGAGAAAGCATTTATTTTTCTCAGAAAGTTCCACTAGCCTTTCAAAAGTATGCATAGATTAACAGTGGCCAAGAGCTGTGGGCGAAGATGAGGAAAGACTGCCAGTGGGCATGGGTTTCTTTCTGGGGAGATGAAACTTCCACATTGGTAATGATGGCTGCACAACTCTGTGAATATAGTATCCTAAAACCCACTGAATTGTATGCTTTAAATGAGTGAGTTATATCTCAATAAAGCTGTGTGCATGTGACCAAGAAGAGATTATGAAACAAGAAGAGCCCTCAGGGCTTACACAGGAACCGGGCTTCTGCACTAATGTCAATATTATAAAAAGCCTTGTGTGTCCTGTGGCTAACCAGGCTGCACACAGAATCTAACCATGTGAGTTTCTTTGCCATGGGGCTGGGATTGTAGCAGCTCCCAGGAGTAACACTGGTTCTTGAGTGCTGGTCAAATTTATAAGTGGTAAAGGCATACAAAAACAGAAAACCAAAGGACACTTGATGATAAATGAGCAAAAGTAAGAAATCAGTAGAGATAAATATCCCAATTAGCTGAGCATGGTGGAGCATGCCTATAGTCCCAGTGACTCTGGAGGCTGAGGCAGGAGAATTGCTTGAACCCAGGAAGCAGAGGTTGCAGTGAGCCAAGATTGCACCACTGCACTCCAGCCTGGCGACAGAGCAAGAAAATGTCAAAAAAAAAAAAAAAAAAATATATATATATATATATATATGTCCTTACCACAAGTGCAAGGGTTAAAACACAGTGAGAGGGGCTGGGCCAAGGCCAGGCATGGGGCAAAGCCTGTTAGTGAGTACTAGTTAGCACTATTAGCAATGATGCACATGCAACAAACACTGTCAGTACTAGTCATGGTAACCATGCAGCAGGTTTACTAGACAAAATCTTTTTTTTTTTTTTTTTTTTTTTTTTTTTTTGAGATGGAGTCGCACTCTGTCTGCCCAGGCTGGAATACAGTGACATGCGGCTCACTGCAACCTCTGCCTCCTGGGTTCAAGTGATTCTCCTGTCCCAGACTCCTGAATAGCTGGGATTCCAGGTGCACACCACCACACTCAGCTAATTTTTGTATTTTTAGTAGAGACGGGGTTTCACCATATTGGCCAGGCTGGTCTCGACCTCCTGACCTCAGGTAATCTGCCTGCTTTGGCCTCCCAAAGTGCTGGGATTACAAGCGTGAGCCACTGTGCCCAACCGACAAAATCTTACAAAACATGTTGTTCAAGGGGACACAACAAAAAGTGTCTTGTAAGCTTTTGAGTGCTGTGTACATGTTAGGGTCCTCCCAGGCTATCTCTCTGCCCCAGGCCCTCACAGCCGAAAGTGTTAACTAATGAGAGATGCATGGTCAGAAATCTTCATTTTTCATGTTTTCAAAAAAATTGTGTTAGAGATGAGGTCTCGCTATGTTGCCCAGGCTGGACTTGAACTCTTGGGGTCAAGCCATCTTCCTACCTCAGCCTTCTGAGTGGCTGAGACAACAGGCAGGAGCCACCACACCCAGCTTAGAGAGTCTTGTGCATAAAGGGCTGATTGGTGACTGAACTAGATGAGCTCTCCAGGCCCTTCTGTAGCTTTTGCAGTCATTGATCTGTCTTGGCAGAATGGAGTGGGGCAGTCTGGGCGTGGGTAGGTGGTAACAGGGGATGGCATATATGACTGTTCCCATAAAAAAGAACATCAGATTCCCTCCATCCCATCTTGTCTAGCTGTGTCCCTATGGGACCCTTTCCCCTTATTTTCTTTTAATATTTTTATCTCTAAGCTTTACAAGTAAGGAGGACCAATACAAATCACTGGAGATGAAGGTTTACGGAATCTTTATCCCAAGAAGCAATGGAATCTGGATTGGTAACATCTCATTCACCCCATATGTGTGCAAGTTACAGGGATCTGATATTTATGAAGTGAAGACTCTGCCGGCTGTGTTATATTCTCTAACTGAATTGCCATAGCAACTCCAGAGGGCAGGCATCCTCCCCATTTCATAGATGAAGAAACCAAGGCTCAGAGAAGTTAAGTATTTGAATCAGCCTGTCTCACCCAAGGCAGGTACTTTCTGCTACATCAAGTTCTCCCTGAGGAACCTGCCGGCCTTCTGGGAATGGGTCTGAGATTTCAGTTTCTGGCCTGAACACCAGAGTGAGGATTTATTCCCAGGCATAGGACAGGCTCAGACTTTGTGATGGAAGACCTCTGGATGGGAGATGGGGCACATGAAGGCTGAGGTCAGATAAACCACGCTGATGACTCTCCTATTTTGGGGGGAGAATGTACCTCTTCTTGAGCCTGCTCCAAAGGTTGTCTTGCTTTAAAAACTACCACGTTTTAAAGTTTTTATTTTTTATTTTTTAAGAGACAGGGGTCTCTCTCTGTTGTCCAAGTTGAAGTGCAGGGGTGTGATCATCGCTCACTGTAGCCTTGAACTCCTGGGGTCAAGCAATCCTCCCACCTCAGACTCCCAAGTAGCTGGGACTAGAGGGACACACCACCACATCTGGCTAAATACACCATGATTTTGTTTGTTTTTTCGTTTGTTTTTGAGACAAGGTGTCGCTCTGTCACCCAGGCTGGAGTGCAGTGGTGTGATTATAGCTGACTGCAACCTCTGCCTCCTGGGCTTCAGGTACTCCTCCCACCTCAGCCTCTGAATAGCTGGGACTATAGGTGTGAGCCATCACCCCCAGCTAATTTTTTGTACAGACAGGGTCTCACTCTGCTGCCTAGGCTAAGAATATCATGTTTTTAATCTCCAAAACTAATGCATGCTTAATAGAGAATTTAGAAGCACATAAAGAAAATAAAAATCACTTATAATCCCACCAGGTGGTTTTTCAATTCTTTTGTGTGTGTGAATCTGTACAAATGTATACATAACATATATTCCAGTTTCATAGTAAGCATACAACATACTAACTTACTCTCTTTGCTAAAAAATACATTACTAACACTTTTCAATGTAATTATTTTGCTACAACATAGCTTTTAAGATCTGTGAGTGTTCCACATATGATTTTTCCTTTCTTTCTTTCTTTCCTTCTTTCTCTGTCTCTCTCTCTCTTACTTTTCTTTCTTTCTAGATGGGTTCTCACTGTTACTGTGTTGCCCAGCCCAGTCTTGAACTCCTGAGCTCATGTGATCCTCCTGCTTCACCCTCCCAAAGTGCTGAGATTACAGGTGTGAGCCACTGCACCTGGCTTGATTTTTCTATAGTTAATAAAGTTGACTCCATTTTTAAAGTGTCAATGATACTGCCTTCTCCGGTCATTAAGAGAGATGGCCAGTGCTTGCAGAGTATGGGACAGGAGGGAGCCAGAGGTACAGCTTGTGGTACAGCCAACTGTGAGGAAGGTACAGGCAAGCACGGAGTGGAAGACAGTGCACTCCTAGTCACTGGCCATGGACCAGCAGATTCTGGTTGTGTGTCCTGCTGCCCCCTCCCTTCCCCTCAGCACATCCGGTACCTGTACTGGCATAGCCCAGAGGTTTGGGCACAAGAAGAAAAACCACATGAGCTGATTGGTGTCGATGGCAACCAGGTTACAGATCTGCCCAGCAGTCATTTCTCCCATGGACAGGTTGGAGGTGGACAGGTGCATAATTTTATTGTAAATCTTGGTCTAGAAATGAGAGTAGAGTATTTCACATTCATCATCATTCTGATCATCATCACCATCCCAGATGCCACCTGTTACAGTGTGCCAGAGGCTTCTCAGACAGTCCCCATGATGCCCTAGAGCAGCTCTGTAAGGTGGTACTGCATCACCTTTCCAACCTACAAATGAGGTAACAGGCTCAGGGAGGTAAAGGGCTTTGCTACAGATTGAATAAGTCAGAGAGGCACCATTCAAAGGAGGAGCACAGAAAGCTACTTCCCCAGCAAGCAAGATTTTTTTTCCCATGGACAGTACTTAATTGGTTCTTTATTTTTATTTTTATTTATTTATTTCGAGGCAGAGTCTCACTCTGTCACCCAGGCTGGAGTTCAGTGGTGTGATCTCAGTTCACTGCAGCCTCTGCCTCCCGGCTTCAGGCAATTCTTGTACTTCAGCCTCTGGAGTAGCTGGAGTTACAGGCACGCGCTTCCATGCCCAGCTAGTATTTGTATTTTTAGTAGAGATGGGGTTTCCCCATGTTGGCCAGGCTGGTCTTGAATTCCTGACCTCAGGTGATCCACCCGCCTCAGCCTCCCAAAGGGCTGAGATTGCAGGTGTGAGCCGCCGCACCCAGCCAGTTCTTTATTTTTAAAAGCAGATCTCCATGTCCAGCTATACTCTTGATTTACCAGAGGCCAGTGGAGAACACACATCAGAGCCAGAAAAATGATGAAATACGGTGGCCATCTGTTTTAAGTGGCCATCTCCAGCCTGGGGAGGGGATCTGCTCTGAGACCAAATCCTGTCATAATTGAGCCTTGAAACAAAACAAGGGTTTGGCTTTGGAAGGTCTGATGTGTTACATGATTCGAGGGTCAGTCAGCCCCAGCACCAACCCCAGAGTGCAACCACCTCAAGGACCCTCACAGCGCAGACGGAGAGCAGACGTGGTAACGGGCCCCCTGAGCTCTGGACCTAAAAGCTTCATGTACAGAGTGATCGTGCCTCCCAGAAAGACTGCAATTTTTGGGTATCTGTTCTTGAACAAGGAAAAATGCATCTGGGTTTTAAATGTCCTTGGGATGCCTGCTCTTGGATGAAATTCTATTATTCATTCTGTTGTAAGGTGGGTTCCCACCCCTTAATTCCTCTTTTGTATAAACCCACGATTTTTGTGGGTCAGGTTTTCTTAAAGCGGGAACCTATTCTATGTCTTTCTGTGACTTTATATATACCGTGTGTAAGGTTTAAAATAACGGCAATGAAATTTTTAAACAAATCTATATACCTCCTAGGTTATATGAAATGAGGCTTTAAAAGATAATCACCTAGCTTCAGTGAAGTAGGGACACCAAGTAATCTGTGAAATAAAGCCTTATTGAGTGAAGACCAGCATATACAGAAATGCACAACTGAGAGCTTATATATATATATATATACACACACACACACACACACATATATATATATGTATGTATATATATACACACACATATGTATGTATAATTCAGGAATTTTGCTTAATAACTTTTTATGCACAAAGTGTGGTTATTCTCAAATCCCTGAAGACACAGACTCTCATCTGTAAGGATAAATTTTCTGAGAATCTCTGAAAGGAAGAAAGGTTTTTTATTCCCCCTCCCCACTTAATTTGTTTCTTTTTTTCTTTCTTTTTTTTTTTTTTTGAGACAAAGGCTCACTTTGTTGCCCAAGCTGGAGTGCAGTGGTATGATCTTGGCTCACTGCAACCCCTGCCTCCCTGGTTCAAGCCAGCCTCCTGCCTCAGCCTCCCAAGTAGCTGGGACTACAGGCATGCACCAACATGCCCGGCTAATTTCTGTATTTTTATTAGATATGGGGTCTCACTATGTTGGCCAGGCTGGTCTTGAACTCCTGACCTCAGGTAATCTGCCCACCTCGGCCTCCCAAAGTGCTGGGATTGCAGTCGTGAGCCACTGCACCCAGCCCTCCTAATTTGTTTCTATAATTAATGCCAGTGATTCCTTTTTGTGGCATAGTAATGAATCTCTCTTATTAACACAAAAGATTCAAACAGTTTGATAAAAATAATTATATGCTAACACATTAAAAAACCATTTTTGGCTCTTTTAGAGTAATTGGAAAATATTGGCTGGTGTGTAATTTATGACATACACACAGTAAGTAGATTTAATTACAAAACTGTCCAAACACAGAAGTGGTTGTGGTTTGTGGTGGTGCAAGTCTGCCTGTCACTGCAGGGGTCTGAGCAGAGGCTGGGATTTCTAGAGAGATTTTCTGAACTGGGTGACAGTTTGGTTTCTCCCAGCTCTGGGTCCCCGTGAGTCTCAGAAGGTCTTAGATTTTCCTGGGCTCTTTCTGCTATTGTCACATAATGACATTCCTGAGGAAATGCTCTTCTTTCCCAGTGAGAAACCACTGGGGGTGGCCAGTGTTGCCATATACAGCTGTAAAGGTTGTACACTGAACAACTTCGCAGGGCACTGTTCACATAGGCTATTTCAAGATAACCAGAGTTTGAACTCTGACACTGTTCCTAGTCCAAGATATATGCTTGTCCTCTTGGTCCCTTTTCTGCAGAGTTTCTGATCCTGGCTCCCATGTGACCAGTGTTAATGATTCTGTGGAACATTTTTGAAGAATGAGGGAGGTTCAGGATTTCACTGTGACTTCGTAGAAATCACTAGGCATAGCTGCATCTAGTTACTCCCAATGCCCATTCTCCTCTTTGCACCAAGAATTTCTAGCAGTGCATACATAGCTGTCAAGAATAAAGACCAAGCTTTCTAGCCTCTCTAGATATGGCAACTTGGCCAATTTCTCACCAATGGGATGGGATAGGATATATGCAAGTTGAGCATTATAATTTTAAAAGGAAGACAAGTTCCCTCCTCTTGTCCCTTCTTCTGGCTGGTTTAAATGTAAATATAGTGGCAGTTTCAATCACCACCATGGCTACTGAGACAAAAGTCACAAAAGAAGGCTGGCAGAGCAACATTACAGAAGCAGCCAGGTCCCTGATCATTGTGTAGCTCCTGCGTCAGCCCTGACTCCATGTGAAGAATAAACAAACTTCTATCCCATTTAAACTACTCTCAAACAGGATGTTTGGTCTGATAGCGGAACCAAAATCCTAGTGAAAACTCTGGGACTTGGACAACTCTCATCCTCACCTTCTTCAAAGGGGCCCTGAATACTCCCTGGCTTTGATCATTTTTCCAACAAACTCTAAGAAGAAAGCCACAAAGGCAGGACCAAGAGCCTAGACTTAAGTGTCCCAACTGACCAAATAGGTCATGCTCATTAGTGAGCAAGATTTAAGAACACAAATAGAACTCAGAGCAGTGGTCCCCAACCTTTTTGGCACCAGTGACTGGTTTCATGGAAGACAATTTCTCCATGGACCACAGAAGCGGGGAAGGTTTCTGGATGAAACTTCCACTTCAGATCATCAGGTATTAGATTCCCCTAAAGAACACACAACCTAGACCCTCATATGCACAGTTCACAATAGGGTTCATGCTCCTATGAGAATCTAATGTAGCCGCTGATCTGACAGGAGGCAGAGCTCAGAGCTCAGGCAGTAATTCTTGCTCCCACTGCTTACCTTCTGCTGTGTGGCCCGGTGCCTAAGAGGCCATGGACCAATACCCCATCTTAGAGAGGACCCTGTCTTAGAGGCTATCTCGACCTGGTACGTCAAGCACATTCCTTTTTTCACACCTAAAGAAGACTGTCTGGTGGCAGAACTCTGGAACAGCCATGTCGAGAGGATTCCAAGGTTGCATTTACCCTTGGTCAGAAAGAGTGCTGTGATCAATTGGTGTCTGCCACTTTCATGCAAAGGGCTGAGCAGTTGGCTTTTCAGACCTAGTCCAAGGCAGAACCAGAGCCAGAGCTACTCCATCTCCCAAGTCTGGCTCAAGACATTTTCCACTATCCCACACTGCCTTGTCAATGGTTACTGTTTTAAAACACTATTAACTGGCAACAAAAAATAAATTCACAGCAAATTATTCTTGAGTGTCCATGAAGATGAATAACACCTATGGACATTATTCCTAATAATGGTTCTTAGGGTGAAGTGAAAAAATTATCATCCAAGTACCTGTATTGCTCCTCTCAAGTTAATTCCAGTTTCAATGGCCACATAGTAGGATGCTTGCAGAAATGTCCTTTGCAGTAGGAGGGCAAGGAACAGGAGCACGGCTAAGACGTAGGCATTGGCAAGGAACTCTTGGGATGAAACAAAGTAAATCCCGAGAAATTGTGTCTGTTGGAAAGAGAAATTCAGAGGTGGCTGTCATTGCCAGCAAAATGAGCACCGTCAGTACACATCACTGTGCCATAATGGACCATGGCCATGATTATTACAAGACCCCTCATACTTACAAAGGCTTGTGCAATTGTTTATGAGTGAAAAACCAGACTGATAAATCCAACTAAGCATTCCTCTAACTACAGTGAAGGTTGCTTACACCCTGTTCATCTTTCCACTTAGCGGAACAGAATCGGGCCCAGTTCTAACCTCAGGTTCATAAATATGACTCTCAGCATTGTGGTCACAGGCCCAGGGGACAGCATTCTGAATGGGGCAAGAATAAACAGAGCAAATCGCAGGCAGCCAAAACCTGAACTGGTATAACAAGTCTCATGGTGCATATTCTCTGTTACAGAAATGGGATCAGCAGCTCCCTTGTCCCAAACTCACCAACAGCCTGTGCTGTAGCGACTTCTAAGCAGAAAAGACCAGTGGAAAACATGGCATCATGGAGCTCTTGGGAGACAGATGGGAGCTCATCACTTATAAGAGACTGAAAAGATATCACTTATAAGAGACTGAAAAGATTTCAGACCCAAGCCCATGAGTCTCATGGTCTTCCAGGGCCTTCTGTTAAATTTAAGGTTCTCTTGTGCATTTCCAACAAGTTCTCAGATGGCAACCAGTGAAGAGAAACAAACATTTAACTTTGTTGCTAAAGATACCAGGGAACAACAGTGTGTCTATTTCCAAATTCATCAATAACTCCCAGGAAAACTTTGATCTTGATCAATCCATTGCTCCCCAGCAAAGCCACATCAATATTTCCGTGAAGATAGAACTCTGATCTTTCTTGGACACTGCCTTGGACTGTGCATGCTATTTGGCAGGGTGTGGGAGCCACTGCAGGTAAAGAGGGATGGGAACAAAGTGATGAGAAGGAGTCTAGGACACATCCATGGCCAGGATCAGGAGGAGAGAGCCTGGGCTCTCAGTGGAGGCCTTTCTCTAGAGTCAGGAATTCCTGGAACTGGATCAGAGCTTTCCGATGGTGGCCTCTCAGTTTAACAGAGGTTCTCTAAGCCAGTCCTCACTTCTCCCTGGAGCTGTCTGGTTTTGCTTACCACTGTCTCTCCCGTGCTCTGTGGGATGGGGGTCTGTATCTGCTGGGGGCATCAGGAAGCAGCTACAGGGAGACCACCGAGGGATGCATGCAAGACTCTGAGAGGAAGGCCCTACCCAGGCTCTGTGTCTCATCTGCCATTGTACTAGAGGGAGAGGCAGAGGGAAGAGGACGACGGGAGGAGGTCGAAGGTGGAAGGGCGAGAGTGGGCTGTAAGAAGCAAATTGGGTCTTAACATTAGGCTGCAGGGAGAGACATGACCTTACAGGGTAAGAAGGTGCAGGAGACAATATTTATCAGGTGCAAAACTCCATCCTCACAATACCCTAATGAGAAGGGTACCATTATTAGCCCCATTTCATAGATGAAAAAAGGAGTTTCAGTAGGGTTAGTGGCTGGCCCCAGGTCACATGCTGGTAAGGGAGCAACATGTGAACACGAACTGTGGTGATATCAAAAACACTACCCCAGACCCACTGTCTAGGTCTCGTCCAGGCCTTTGACCTTAAGTGTCCTAGTGTCAGTTACAGGCTTGTGACTTGCGGGGGATGGGAACATGCCCCCCTGGTTGGTACTCCATCAGAAATATAGGCACAAGGGTTTAGGAAGACCCAGTCCTGTTGAACATGCCCTGGGATTCCTCTGTCCCACTGTCCTCTGCAGGCACACAGCTCTGGAGACTGAAGGTCATGATTTTAAAGCAACAAAACACATCATGGGAATTTATCCCAAAGAAAATAATTTCGGCCGGGGGCAGTGGCTCACACCTGTAATCCCAGCACTTTGGGAGGTTGAGGCTGGCAGATCACGAGGTCAGGAGATCGAAACAATACTGGCCAACATGGTGAAACCCCATCTCTACTAAAAATACAAAACTTAGCTGGGTGTGGTGGCGTACACCTACAGTCCCAGCTACTTGGGAGGCTGAGGCAGGAGAATTACTTGAACCCAGGAGGCAGAGGTTGCAGTGAGCCAAGATTGTGCCACTGCACTCCAGCCTGGCAAAAGAGTGAGACTCCGTCTCAAAAAAAAGAAAAAGAAAAAGAAAATAATTTCACATAAGGTAACGGTTGTATGAACACAGACTTCTATTTTGGGGCCAGAGTAGGAGGAGAATGCAAAAACCCACACAAACGTCCAGTCACCGGGAATGGTTAGGTAATTATGATACTCATGGGACCACTATGCATCCAAGACCACTGATTCTCATGAAAGCTCTGGAGCAACATGGAATGCCATGCACACACTGTGCTACGATGATCAGAAAACACCCAGGCTGGAGAATGAGGGCTGGAAAAGCCAACTGATCACGTTTGTTGGTTAAACTATGGGTGTTGCTTGTTAAACATACTAGTCCATATTTGTACATTTTTAACAAAACAACAAATTCTGGTTTTGCAGCTCTAAAGGCAAAACTTGGACTCCCTCCCTTCCCCCAATACATATATCCTAGGGTCAGAAAACTATTTTTGTGGATTGAGAATTTTGTGATCTGTTAAAATAAAAATCTCACTGCAGTTATAAGTCATTAGGTCATTATTAGATCTCTCTTCAAAGAGTCGGTTTAAAAGGGATAAAACCTGGAATAGCTAAGTTTTGGTTAAGAAGTGGGTACCAGCCGGGTGCGGTGGCTCATGTCTGTAATCCCAGCACTTTGGGAGGCCAAGGCAGGTGGATCATGAGGTCAGGAGTTTGAGACCAACCTGGCCAACATGGTGAAACCTCTACTAACAATACAAAAATTAGCCGGGAATGGTGGCAGATGCCTGTAGTCCCAGCTACTCGGGAGGCAAAGACAGGAGAATCTCTTGAATTGGGAGGCAGAGGTTGCAGTGAGCCGAGATAAGGCCACTGCACTCCAGCCTGGGTGACAGAGTGAGACTGTCTCAAAAAAAAAAAAAAAAAAAGTGGGTACCTGGCTGGGCATGGTTGCTTATGCCTGTAATCCCAGCACTTTGAGAGGCTGAGGTAGGTGGATCACCTGAGGTCAGGAGTTTGAGACCAGCCTGGCCAATATGCTAAAACCTTGTTTCTACTAAAAATACAAAAAAAAAAAAAATACATAGCTGAGCATGGTGGTGCACACCTATAATCCCAGCTACTCAGGAGGCTGGGACAGGAGAATCGCTTGAACCCAGGAGGCAGAGGTTGCAGTGAGCTGAGATTGTGCCACTGCACTCCAGCCTGGGTGACAGAGTGAGACTCCATCCAAAAAAAGAAGTGGGTATCAGACTAGCCAAGAGGCCTGCAGTGCTGCCCAAGGAGGGGAGGCCCTCGTGGAGTCTCCTGAGAAGAGAGTCCTGGGAAACGGGGAGTGGGTATGACAGCACAGGCTAGCACCCTGCAGGCAGCACAGTGAGAGAGAAAAGACCAAGGACCTATGACCTAACACCTGGTGGAAGAAAATGCTTTGGAAAATCATAAGCCGTAGTCTTGCGTTTTCACAAGCTCTCAGGGAAGAGCTGTGTTTGTTTCCAGGGATTCCCCCAGTAGTGCTCAATATCCATTTTTTAAAAGTAATCAAGCCTGTGATCTTCATGCCCCTATGTACTTTCTATAGAAGTTATTATACATTTTGCAATTGAGGCTTGCAGGATGTGACTCCTGAGAAGGATAAAGAGAGTTAGCTGCAGAGGCAGAACTAGACCCCAGCACTCCCAGCTCTACAGTTTGGACCCCCATGGGCTCTGCCTGGTCAGAGGTATGACTGGAAAGGTCCCCTTCCTGTGTTCGCTGGTGCTTAAAGGAGAGGGGATCACTTGGGCTCTTGCTTCCTATTTTGGCAGGTACCAAAAGGTAAGTTGTCCATAGGTCCCAGCCCCGGGAGGCCCTAGGTAAGGATGAGAACTTTGACCACCCATGGACCAACACACCTACCCAAGACTGTTGGACATGACTGTTAAGAGCCTGGACTTAGAGATCCTGACTCATCATATATTAGCCACTGTGTCCTTAGGTAAGTTCCTCAACCTCTCTTAGTCTCAGTTTCCTCATCTGTAATATGAAGCCATGAAGAGTTTCTACTTCAGAGAGTTGTTATGAGAAGTCAATGTTGTTAGGGTCACAGCAAGGCAAGCCCATAGACCCCCTGCCCGTTCTCCCCTGCTAAGCCGAGCTCATAACAAAAGCAGTCTCAAGCCTTGTAAGCAGGGCGCCCGGGTTCCAGGATGTGGTCCACCCGGCTCTCGAACCCAGGATGGTGACCCAATTAAGCAGAATGTTAGCACCTAAGAGCCAAGATGTGGTTTTTCTTAGAATACCACCTGGCTACCTGCAAAACCCCTATATGACCACCATAGTCTGTAAGCTAGGCTGCTGATTTCACTGTCTATGGTGAGGCAGCCAACTTGACAGGTTGAAATAAACTTGCTAAACCTGACCCTGGGTCTGCCTCTCCGTCCTTTCAGTCAACCTTACAAATGTAACAGTGCATGTAAACAACAACAACAACAACAACAAACCAGTAAGTGTAAGCACTTAATATACAGTAACTGCTGCATTATTCATTCATTGCAGAACCATTTCCCATGCATCTCCTGGGTGCCAGGCAGGGGGCTGAGTGCTGGGCACGCAGAGCTCAGACAATGGGGGACAGAGGATCAAGTCAGGGAAAGAGACAAGGGGTGCTTTGATAGGATGTTATGCGAGCACAGACGAGGGGCAGCTAATTCAACCAGATGAAGGCTTCCTGGAGCAGGTGACATTTGAGCAGAGTCTTGGTGGCCAAGAAGGTGCTAGTGAATTGAAGGCAGGTACTCCAGAACAGAGCAGCTGCATGGACTTGGTTATGAAGAAGCCAGAACACACACCAAAACCATGAATTCATAGAGACATCAATGCATATACACTCATTAAGTCACTGATAATGATAGCCACAAATATGGCCGTCCAAACAGGGGCATACACACACATGCACACACACATACACACACACAGAAAAAGACACACCAGGCTGGGCATGGTGGCTCATGCCTGTAATCCCAGCACTTTGGGAGGCCAAAGCGGGCAGATCACAAGGTCAGGAGTTCAAGGCCAGTCTGGCCTACATGGTGAAACCTCGTCTTTACTAAAGATACAAAAATTAGCTGGGCGTGGTGGTGCATGCCTGTAATCTCAGCTACTCAGGAAGCTGAGGCAGGAGAATCGCTTGAACTCAGGAGGTAGAGGCTGCAGTGAGCCAAGATTGCACCATTGCACTCCAGCCTGGGTGACAGGGCGAGACTCTGTCTCAAAAAAAAAAAAAAAAAAAAAGACACACCAAAAGACATAAGGACAAACAGAACACACATATAGAACCATAAGCAGTTCCTAGGGGAACTCACTCAGAAATAAACACATACACACTCCCAAACCTACACGTTTTCCTACTGAGGTTTAGAGGCTGTTTGAAGCTTTAGCCCTTTGATCAAACCCAGGCTGTGCCTTCTTCCTGTGGCTCAGCTGATAGCCCAGGACAGTGCTGGCAGGTTTCAGACACCAGCAGCTCCTTATGAATCCAATTCCCTTGCCCACTAGCCAGATCAGTGGCATCCACAGCAGGTGACAGATTGCGAGTGGGGAGTGGGCTTGAGAGGAGGCTGGAAAGAGCTATAGATCATGGGCAGAGCCCGACCTTGGTCCCAGCTTTCCCTGGGGAGTGGCAGAGGGGTGACAGAAGCATCAAAGAGCTGGCAGATCACAGACACGCTCAGTAACTAAAGATGACATCAGAAATGTTCACCCGTAGATGATATGTTTCTTGCCAACTCTGAGTATCTTAGAAGGGAAGAGTGATGATGAATAAACCATAGGTGCCAAGCTGTGCCGACTGCAGCAGGATGGATTCAGGCTGGGTGGAAAAAAAGGGCTTCCTCACGCAGACTGTTAAACACTGCAACATGTAGCTAGGGAGCTTCCTTCTTTGTCGTTCATAAAGACCAGAATAGCATTCGGCTCTCTCTGGATTAGAATGGCTGGGGGGCTGGGAGATGAACCAGGCAACCTCAGTAAATGATCCCTTTCCCCCATTTTCAGAGCTCAGAAGCCCAAATGAGAATTAAGCCACATCCCAGGCAACCACATGACGGAGAGTTCTTTGTTGCGGACACTGGAGACTATATTTACTTTCAACTCTCGCTTCTGTGTCGGAAATTTGCTGATTGTGTTCGGGTTGCAGGGAACAAATATTAAATCTGATAAGGCCCACTGCCACTGAGGCAGGGCCATCTGTCTCAGGGATTTGTGTGCTAAGTAACTGGGACAAGAGCATTCCAATGAGAGGGCAATAAACCCCAGGGTTTGTGTATAAACAAAGAGAAAAAAATGGTAATGATAATATGAACTAAAATTCTAAGTGTTCTAATCCTTAGATCAGATGAACTACAATTCTAAGTGTTCTCACCCTCTGTTTGGCACACCCTGTCTCAAAGCTCCCTTCTTAGCAAAATCCCACAAGGGAAACACAGGAAGAAGAGACTGGTGTGGGCACGCTGATAAGGGCTCTGGCCCGTGTCATTTCCCCCTAATATTAACAACTGGCTCCATGCTGCTGCAGGATCGCCAGTGGAGGGTATTCTGGGGTAGCCTATGGTCAGATGACAGCTGAAGGTGACACTTCTGTAGACAAGAGAAACAGCTGCTTCCCCTCTTTTTGGGCCAGGTAAAGCACAGAGGCTCAAAAAGCCAGATATGGCTTCAAAAGCCATCAAAGTTTAAATAAGCAAAAGCAGTCCTTGCATTCTTGATTGAACAAGAAATCTTCCCATGGCAGCCTGGCAAATTCCTACTCATCCATCAAGACCCCATTCAAACATCCCCTCCTCTATGAAGCTGTTTACGGCCATTGGCTAAGTTAATCACCCTCCTTTCCCATAATTCCCTGAATATACCTCCTAAAAGTCATATGTAACACATAGCATAAAAGTATTTTACTTTGATTTCTCTCTCCGCCACTGGATTTCATAATCCTTGGAGCCAGAGGTGATAGCTTGAAAATAAGTCAATTCAGCTTCCTGGCTATAAATGCCCAGACTGTGCAGTGAAAGAGTCATGTATTCAAATCCTGCCTTTGTTGCTAGCTAGCTGAGAGACTCTGGGAAAGGTACTTAACCTTTCTGAGTCTCAAAACTTTCTCATCTGTAAAATGGGGATAAGAATACCTATCATCTCATAAATAGTACCATATGTGCGTTGTATCACAGTAAAGCTGTTACAAAAATATACTCACACCAAAGGTAGTTTTAGGGATTAACTAACACATGGCTAACCCGTGCACACAGCCAGATATGTATTATGTGGTCGATAAGTGGCTGTTCATATTGTTAATCATCCCGCGTCATAACCGTTGCTTTCATATTCCCACAGCCCAATCCAGGCCTGGCACACAGCAGTGTTCAATAAACGTGTGCTGCATAAATCAGACTCGGCGTATCGCATATTTGTGGCCAAAACTGCTCAGCTGACTAACTATATCTCCAGAAAAATGAAAAGAAACCTCCTGAGGATTAACTGCTAGCTGCGATTTTGGAGCTCATGAGATGAACAAACGTTACGCAAAGGGTGTCATAAATTATTAAAAACCTTAGTTCTCAGCTCTCTGCATTGTTTTCAGACTGTGGTTAAAAAGAATGACATCCTCACTTGGAAACAAAAACTCTGAAACTTATTAGGGGTGAAAGGTTTTTCATTTTGTGACCATTTAAACCTAAATGGCTGCAGGGAAACAGACAATAGAACACAGTAATCCCCAGCCCCCGACGTGGATGCTATGGCCCCATGCACGGAAAATAACCCTGGGAAAGGTTTTCCACCTCCAACAAACTTCAGTTTGTAGAGTCTTTGCAGCTACAAAGGCCATTGGATATAATCTAGTCCAATAAGTTTCCAGTGTTTTTAAGCCATGGAAACTTTTCTTAAAAAAGAAATCTTAATGGAGAAGTCCAACATATTAATAAAACTGCGGGCAGCTTTGAATGCAATTTGGAGTGGGGAGGGACAAAGCTCCACTCATGAGGGTTTCCCACTCTCCTCTGACAGCAGTTCCCAAGATGCCCCTGCAGAAGCTCCAGTGCCAGGATTTACAGGACCAAAGAAGACAGATCTTGAAAACTCTTAAAGAGTTTACTAAGAGGACATGAATGGAAAGCCAACAAATCCAAGTCACAGAAGCTCTAGATACTGAACAAACAAATGCACTTCTTGCAGCTTTCGGAATGACCTAACTACCGGGAGAGGTATTATGGTGGTGACGGTGAGCGGGCAGCAGGACCCTTGGGGCATAAGCTCACCCCCTGGCATTTCTGTTGACCAGATGCAGAGTATTCTGTGGTGGGGATACTGCTATGGGCTTTGCGCATGTGTGAGGAGTCACTCCAGTGTGGCCAAGGCTCACACACATTGTCCTGTTGCACTTTCACATACCACTGAAAACTTTCTAGAGGGGGCCTTCCCCTTCCCGTAGGGCTGCCTACCTTGGGCTGGAAGACGTCATTCTCCTTCCCAAGGTGGTCCACGATCCCGAAGATGCACAGTGGCCCAGCGAAGCCCAGCAGGTCGGCCAAGATGCGGAAAGTGCTGCTGAGGACCAGGCGCCTCCCGAAGGCATGGCTGAGTGCCTGCCAGATGGCCCGGGCACCTTGAGTGCCCTGCACGTCCTTACGCTGCTCAGAGAGATTATGGCCAGGTCAGAGTGACTGAAGGCTCATTCATGGCTGGCCTTAGCCTCCCAGGATGCTCCTGGCCCCTGTTACCCAGGGAAACCCAGTGATCACATCTTCTGCAAACAGGTGAACTCTGGGAAGAGATCACGGAATCACCAAGTGCATGATTGGGAGGGCCCTGTCAATGCCGACATGGTCTAGATGGGGAAACTGAGGCCAGCTGATTGCTCAAGGTCATCAGCTGTGTGAACAGCTGGTCAGGAACTATGTGATGAACACAGCGTTGGAATGAGGAAGTGGCCATGTGCCACACTCACTCATTGCCAGCTGCCACTGTGTCTGCCTCAGCAGCTGCCCTGGTACGAGGGCAGAGGCAGGGAAGGAGCACTGCTCTGGGAGTCAGGAGACTGGCTCGCTGCCTACCAGCTGTGGGCCAGCTCTGGACAGGTCACAGCCTTTCTCAGGGCCTCAGTTTTCTCCTCAGTGACATGGGGAGATTCCTGCCTGGCTCAACTCACAGTTACAGTAAAGATCAGGCCACTAACACCCCTGCTCTCCAAATCAAGTGAGCACTACAACCTTTATTGTCGTTAAGCTCCAGAAGAAAGAGCACATGGCATGAGAGTCCAGTGGGGGCCACTTCCCTTCTCAGAGCCTGAGTTTCCCCATCTGGATGAAGATGTTGGACTAGATGACCTAAACAGTAAGGGCCATTCCAATTGTGCCTGTCCTAGGAACCTTCAGCCCTGCCTGCACTTGTCCCTGGTTCACTGTGTGACTTAAGGCAAGCTTCTCCCCCTCATGAGCCTCAGTTTCCGCTCTTGTCCCACCAGAATTTTGATCTAATGCCCTTTGAAGTCCCTCTGTGACCCTAAACCAGAAGGCAGGGAATGGATGGTGTGGCTGTGCCCCCACTGACCACCTGGGCGTCAAAGGCCTCGCAGAGGCGCTGGTAGTTGGTGAGGGCCCTCATGGCAATGGGCAGCTTCCCGATGGCTCGCAAGTCGATGGGCTTTTTGTGGGCCGTCTTGATGAAAGCATTCATCCACCAGTAGGTGCCTTTGGACAGCAGATTCACAAAGGGTTGCAGGAAGCGCACCCCTAGGTCCTGCAGGTCCTCAGGTGGCTTTACCTCCCTCGGTGTCTTGAAAAAGATGTATCTCTGTGGGGCACATGGACCATGGGGGATGGGTAAGTGCAACTTCTCACCACTCCCTACCTTGTCCTAGCAAGGACCTGGGGTTGTGATATTCCACGCTTGATCTCTAACAGATGGGGTCATCTTTCACCTATAATTATTATCAGCAAAAGAACTCCCCAATACTTTTTGGCCACTAATGTCAGGGCCTTCTGACTTTAAAACTGCTCATTGAGGTCGACTTTGAACCCCTCTGGCTAAGCTGGGTTAGGAAGGAGCACGAATCTCTCATATACTATCTTCTCCACAGATCTAAGGATGCTACAATGTTTCATGTACAGTTCACAGAACTCCAAGTCATACAGACCTGGGTTTGAATCCTGCCTCCTCCATTTGCTAGCAAGGTGTTTTTGGACAAGCCTCATCTAAAATGTTTCCTCATCCATAAAGGGGATGCTGCTTGCATCACAGGGCTCCTGTGAGGGTCACTGGAGCGGGGGCACATAAGGAGCTTTGTGCCCTGCAGATAGCCAACTAAAAGCAGAAGAATCAGAGAAATGCAGGCAGTCCAAGTTCAAAAGGGCTATAGCCCTCGCTGCTGGCTGGAAGGTAGGGAAAGGGTTTTCTCACTCATTGCTGGTAGATTACAGTCTTTCTGGAAGGCAATATGTAACACTGATCAAAATTTAAAATACACAGACCCTCTGACCCAGCAACACTGCTCCTTGGACTCTCTCTCACAAAAATAAAAGCAGCAATACATAAAGATATAAGTATGCTCAATACACCATTATTCATGAATGCAAGAACTTGGCAACAGAGTGAATGCCCATCCATAGAGAAACAGCTGAATACATTATGGCTTATCCATTTGATGGAATATTATGCAGCCATTAAGAAAATGGAATTAGCCATATCAGATGGCTTGAAGGGAGTCCCAGGAGGTATTTGTTGGGTGAGAAAAGCACAGTGCATAATATGATCCTATTCTTATAGGACAGATACTGAGGGGGAAACCTACCTATTCACTTGTGTTGCGGGGGAAAAGCCTGAATAGGTATTTATTTAGATAGACGCATATGGTATTATATTAATAAAAACAAAGCATGGAAAGACAAATGAGGTCATTAATCTGGGCTACCTGGGGAGGTAAGGGCAGGGGAACAGGAAGTTTAGAGTCTGGGGTGGGTAAGAGAGAGGGAGGCAGGAGCAAACATAAAGAAAAATAAAACACTTACTCATTCATGTATGCGTGTGACTGTATGAATACATTAAAACACAGAGAAGTACCCCAACCTCGAAAAAAGGAAAGTAAGAGAGGCCAGTGCCTGATGCCTTTTTCCCTCTCTATGGGAGAAAAGTCATCCTCCAACCTCAGTGAACACACTCATCACCCCCTCTCCCTCTGGGAGCCTGAAGTAGAGCACATGTGGGCCAGATGCTATGTCTTTTCTGAAACTTCCCTCATGCCCTCACTTCCCTTTAGGAGTGGCAGGTAACGAGCTGACCTCTTCTCAGCTTGGCTGAGAGGCAGGGTGGGGACCCGAATGCTGGGCAGGACAGAGGTCAGAGCCTCCGCTCCCCACCCCTCACTGGCCCAGGTGCATCCTTGGCGGCCTGCTTACCCTCACCCTGATGACATTGATCTCCACGAGGAGCAGCATCCCATAGAGGATCACCAGCAGCCCCGTGAGGCAGAAGCGCAGCTGTGAGAAGCCGATGGCGTGGTCCAAGAACTTGACAAACTTGATGGTCTTGGTGATGAAGGCCAGGGTCCAATATACCAGCAGGGCTGCCAAGGAGAGAAGAAAGACTGCAGGAGACGTGTGTGCCTCGTGTGTGCACTCACTCACATGATGTGTGCAAGTATGTGGCAGAGGAGGAGACAGAATGAGTGTGTCCAGGTATGTACATTTCCGAGTAAGAAGATGTGCACGTGTGAATACATCAGAGTGCCTGACTTTAAGATGACTCATATACATCTTAACATTCATGAAAAACACCAATAATCTCATTGATTGACCTTGTCAGACAAATGTCCCTTAACAATAAATGATCATGTGAAGAATAGGAAATTTATTTCTTGAATTTAACTAAGTTACAGGCACTGTGCCAAGTAAGCACTATAAACACATGATCTCATTTATTCTTCTCCATAGCTGTTCAAAGAAAGTACTGCCATCACCCCCAATTTCTCAGACAAAGGAAATGAGGCTCAGAAATATTAGGCAACTGATCCAAGGCCACACACCCATTAAGAGGCAGAGCTGGGCTGGCCAGATGCTGGAACCCATGTGTGCAAGCTCCATGCTATAATGACTTTCTTGGGGAATTTTTAAGTGAGGGAGATATTAAGGGTCACTCAATCCAGCCTTTCATTTTACAGATGAGGAAACTGGGGCCCAGAGAGAGGACGTGACCTTGCCCAAGTACACTGGCAGCCAGGGACAGGGAGAGGGTGAAAGCCTAGGTTCTGGTCCTCAGAGCCCACCACAGCATGATGATGGAGCAGGGGTACAGGGGATACAGAGAAAGCCAGCCGCAGTTGCATGAGGCAGTGTCATACAGGTGTTAGTGGTGGTGGCCCTGCAGCCAGATACACCTGGGCTCAGAGCCTGTGACATAACAGCTGTGTGACCTTGGATTAGTCACTTGGCCCTCTAGAGCTTAGTCTCCTCATCCATTAAGTGGGAATAAAAATAGTGCTACCTAGAAGGTCCTTGCCAGAAACATATGGAAAGCATTTAGTGCAATGAGCCTCACACGAGGCGGGTATTCTTTGGACATTAGCTGTTATATTTTTATTATCTCCAGGTTTAAGACCTGGGGCAGATAAACATCAGAAGCTATCAGTAGAGTCTACCTTAAATTCTCACACATGCCCCCACCTCAATCTGCCAATAAATCACCGTCAAGCTTCCAACAACCAAAACCAGCAATAATCTGTGAAGTCCCCTTTTGAGGGTGGCAAGACTTTAGCACCAGCAGCTCCTTCCCTCCTCCCTCCTAGACCAGATGCGGATAAGGTCAGCCTCATGCAACAGAGCCCCTCTTCAGAGGGCCTGAGTGAGGGAGAGAGACTTTCCCCCTGCCCTGTATCCCTATGTGGGCCTGGACATGTATGCCAGAGTTCCTCTTGGTGACAAATCTGGGGTCTGTCCTGCATGGCTCTGGGTTAGGAAACAGGTTGAGATGTTGGGCCCCACCATGTGCCCAGGTTGAGCTCACACAGGGGGATCAATGCTGTCCACCTTGGGTCCCTGCATGAGGACATTAGGATGGGGGCAGAAGCATCTGCCTTCTGGTCCCACGCCTCAAGACTGGGATAATGTCCCCCAGCTCAGTCTGGTCTCTAAGTCTTGAGGAACTCTACAGCTGAAAACTGTCCCCCTGCCTCCATTCCACTCTCCCAGACAGACAGATTCTATCCCAGGCATCAGAATCCCTTTAGCCCTTAGTGAGAGCTGCCTACTGGAGCCGGGACTTGAAAATATGCCTCACATTTGTCTTGTCCTGAACACTTGGTCTGATTTGCTCTTCATAACAACCCTATGACTTAGGCGGGAACTTACTCTTCCTGCCCACGTGGGGAATCAGAGGCTCAGAGAGCTTGGATGTCTTCTGCAACGTTACCCAGGGAATTAGTGGTGGACCCAGGACTAAGCCTGGAGGTTTTTTGCACATTCCTGTCCTGCAGGGCCCAGTGCTCAACCTGTTGCCAGACACAGCAGTGATCAGCAAAAACTAAATGTCTGATGAGAGGAGGGAAAAGGAAGGAAAGAGGCATAACATGGGGGCTGCTGGTGAGCTCCCATTACTCCTTCTCCCTCCGTTCTTCCTCACCCCACACCTTCCATTACCAAATGCTGTCTATTTCACCTCCTAAATATCTTGAATCTGTCTACTTCTCTCCATTCTCGTGGTACCACCTAAGTCATCATGTCTCCTCTGGATTCCCGCTCCACCCTGAGAGCCTTCCCATTGGTTCCCCCACTTTCCCCCAACTTGTTCTCCTCCAACCTGGTCTCCATAAAGCAATTATTATGATTATGTTGAAAACGCCTCAACACACCCATGTTCATTGCAGTGTCATTCACGAGAGTCAAGACATAGAAGCAGCCCACTGACAGATGAATAGCTAAACAAAATGTGGCATATCCATACAGTGGAATATTAGCCTTAAATAGGAAGGAGATTTCAGCCTGATGCAGTGGCTCATGCCTGTAATTCCAGCACTTTAGGAGGCCGAGGCGGGAAATCACCTGAGGTCAAGAGTTCGAGACCAGCCTGGCTAACTTGGTGAAACCCTGTTTCTACTAAAAATACAAAAATTAGCTGGGCATGGGCATTTGCCTGTAATCCCAGCTACTTGGGAGGCTGAGGCAGGTGAATCGCTTGAACCTGGGAGTCGGAGGTTGCAGTGAGCTGAGATTGCACCATTGCACTCCAACTTGGGCAACATGAGCAAAGCTCCATCTCAAAAACAAAACAAACAAACAAAACAAAAAGGAAGGAAATTTCAACACATGCTACAACATAGATGAACCTTGAGGACATAATGCTCAGTGACATAAGCAAGTCATGAAAAGCCAGTGTATGATGCCGCTTAGAAGAAGTACCTAGGGTACTCAAATTCACAGATAGAAGGTAGAATGGTGGTTGTCCGGGGCTGCAAGGAGGGAGATATGGCGAATTATCATTTAATAGATACCGAGTTTCAGCTTGGGAAGATAAAAAAGTTCTGAAGATGGATGGTGGTGATGGCTATACAGCAATGTGAATATACTTTTTTTTTTTTTTTTTGAAACAGGGTCTTACTCTCTTGCCCAGGTTGGAGTGCAGTGGCACAATTTTGGATCACTGTAGCCTCCACCTCCTAGGCTCAAGCAATCCTCCTGCCTCAGCCTCCAAAGTAGCAGGAACTGACTACAGGTGTATGTTACCATGCCCAGCTAAGTTTGATTTTTTTTGTAGAGTCAGGATTTTGCCATGTGGGCCAAGCTGGTCTCAAACTTCTGAGCTCAAGCAATCCACCTAAGTTTCCCAAGGTGCTGGGAAACTGAGGCATGAGCCACCGTGCCCAACTATGAATATACTTAATGCCACAGAACACTATACTTAAAAACAATTAAGATGGTAAATTTTATGTTAAGTATGTTATACCACACAGACAAACATACAGACACCCCTTCCCATTGCTGTTGGGATAAAGACCAACATCTGTGGTATGGCCTTTCAGCTGGGCGCGGTGCTCACACCTGTAATTCCAACACTTTGGGAAGCTGAGGCTGGCAGATTACTTGAGGCCAAAAGTTCAAGACCAGCCTGGTCAATTTGGCGAAAACCCAGCTCTTCTAAAAATACAAAAAATTAGCCAGCCATGTTGGTGCGCACCTGTAGTCCCAGCTACTCGGGAGGCTGAACTACAAGAAACCGCTTGAACCTAGGAGGCAGAGGTTATAGTGACCCAAGGTGGCGCCACTGCACTCCAGCCTGGGCACAAACAAACAAAACCCAAAGTCCAGCTCCCCTCCACTTTGAGCCTGAGCCACTCATATTCTGAATTTTCTAATGTGATTTGTTCCTTCTGCCTTGGGGCCTTCGCGCATGTTCCCTCTGCCTGAAGCACTCTACTCTCCCTTCTCCCAGTTGGCTCCTTCAGTTCTCAGCTCAAATATGACTTTTTCAGAGAACACTTCCTTGGCCTCATCTGGGTCCCAGGATCATGGTTCCTTCATGGGACAATGTAAGCTGCATCACAGACCCCCTCTGTGTGGGACTCCATACCCAGGCCAGACATCAGCCTCCTCAGAGGGCTGGCCATTCTCCCATTACCCATTGCCCTCTGTCCCAGCTCACAGGCACGTCCCTCCACTTTTCCCTGTTTGAGAATTTCTGGCTCTGTGGAGCCTCCTTTCCAGGGAGATAACTCCAACAAGGGGAATGGAGGGAGTTAGTCTTTGTTCCTTGGAAAACGACCGTTCCATTCAAGGGTGGTAACTTGTGCTTTAAAGAGAGAACATTATGTGTTTGCTGGAGAATGAGAAAATGAACTCCCCGGATGTCCAGACAGGGTGTTTCCGGAAGCACTGGTCAGCTAGGCTCTGGTGGTTAATGAAGGTTTCTCTAGAGACGAGGAGCTGCTTCAGAAATGGAGGCAGGCATCTCCCCTCTCAACCTGCTTCCCCCAGCTCCCATACATACTCATGTGGGGGTCCCTGGGCCAGGGGTAGGGGGATCACCTGGATAAGCCTGATGGAGCTCAGATCCCGCCTTCCATAGAAAGGCAGACCTGTGATTAGCGCAGGAAACACCCTCTACTCCCTGACAACACCGCAGTGTCACTGGCTTAGCACAGAATGTTCCAGACTCCAAATGTCAATTCAATGCTGTGATTCCTCAAAATCACAGTCTGACTTAATGACACACTCTGAATACAATCTAACTGCCAGATGTACAGCCCCAGCCTCAGACACGCAGGCTGAGCCCCAACACAGAGGCAGACCTTTGGATTGATACCTTTGCCCCAAGGACAAAGTCTGAGGGCCCTTAGACGTGCGTTCTCAGTAACTGTTAGGAGATGTGTGGATGCTGGACTCTCGGCTGTGCCCCTTGATGAGCTAGATTACTGCCAGTTATTTAACCTCTGAGCCTCAGTTTTCTGATATGTAAAAAGAAAATATAATATTACCTACCTCATAGAATTGTTGCAAGGATTAGATGAGTTAATATACATCACATAGGTGGGACGGCACCTGGCATACACTAAGTACAAAATAAGTATTTGCTGTTATTTTTAACCTCTCAGTTTCAGCATCCACACTGGAAAATGGGGATATTAACAATACCAATAAGGAGGCAGGGGAAATTAGCCTATGGGGCAATGAATGTAAGGAATATGGCACGGAGCCTGCCCCACGACACATGCTCGGTGAACATCAGCCATCATCCTGTTGCTTCTGCCTGGGACTCCAGTCCCGCAGTGTCAGAGCTCTAAGTGGGAACTCCTTCCCGAGTCTCTCTAAATGTTAGCAAACCTCAAGCTCTGGTCATGGAGCCTTTCTTTTCTCTCCCCAGGTGACCTCATCCAGGCTCAAACTTTTTTATTTATTTATTTTGAGACGGAGTCTCCCTGTCACCCAGGCTGGAGTGCAGCGGCGTGATCTCGGCTCATTGCAACCTCCGCCTCCTGGGTTCAAGTGATTCTCCTGCCTCAGCCTCCCTGAGTAGCTGGGACTACCATTGCATGCCACCATGCCAGCTAATTTTTGTATTTTTAGTAGAGACAGGGTTTCTCCATCTCGGCCAGGCTGGTCTCAAACATCTGATATCAGGTGATCCACCCTCCTCAGCCTCCCAAAGCACTGGGATTACAGGTATGAGCCACCATGCCCAGCCCCAGGCTCAAGCTTTAGGTGTCATCTACAAGGCTCACCTCCTGGAAGTGACCTCCCCATGAAGGCACAACTTGCTTATCTAACTGTCTGCTTGACACTTGAGTTGGGTGTCTCTGTGACATCTCATACTCGATATGCCCCCAACAGAAAACTTGATCTCCACCACAGCCCACCTCCCCCTCCTCTGACACATCAGTTATTGATGCCACAGTTCACCCAGGCACTCAGGCCTGGAGCCTGGGACTCTTCCTCGCTCCTCTACTGACCCCTGCCCTCACCTCCTCCCACTCTTCCTCTTGCTCATGGCTTTGCCCACAGTGACCTCTGCCAAATCTGTCATTATCAGAGGTCCCTGCACTTGCCACTTCCCTTGCAGGGAACCCTTTCCCCCAAATAGCTACATGCCCACATTTACCAGAGCCCTTCCCTGACCAACCTATGTAGATAGCAACATTGCCCCTGCCCTCTACTTGATTTTCTTCATAGCATCACCACCACCTATTTGTTTGTTTGTTTGTTTATTCACTCTCTGCCTATCTGTCTCCTTCACCAGACTGTAAGCTCCATGAAGTCTTTTTTCTTCTATTCGGAAACTCTACCCTCCGGAGCAGCACCTGGCTCATAGTGAGTCCTCAGTAAACATTATCTGAAGAAATGAATGAAGGTACTGCCCCTCCTTCCTACTCCTCACCTACCAATCAGCAGCTTGGGGAAGTTGGAAGTCTCGATGTTGTGATAGTAGACCACGGAGGTGACAGCAGCCATGAACGCCATCCCGGCTGGCATGTACAGGTGGAGGTGGCGGGACTCGGTCACCCTGAAATGGGAGAGAGAGACAGACAGGATGGGACGTGCTAAGTGCTGCAATAGAGCAGCCCAGGCCTTGAATTCCAAAGCCCAAACACCGAACCTTTATAGCATCACTGTATAGACTGCAGGGCCCTTCAGTTAATGGGCATATTTGGGGTATGGGCTGGGCAGAGATGCCAGTACATGGAGTAGAGCTGGGGATATGATCTGGAGGCCTTGCTGGAGGCTGATCCCTAAGCACAAGGGTCCCTGGGGTCCCTTGAGTGGTGCAGGGGCCTGTATGCCACAACTCACCCAGTGACAGCCCCATTTAACATGAACAGCATAAGTCAGCATTGGCACCCTCCCCAGGGGCTGTGATAACAAACTGATGAGAGTCAATATTTACGGAGCATTTACCCTGTGCCAGGCACTGTTCTATGCATGCAGTATACGTTAACCCATTTAATCTTCATTAAACCCTATCAAGTGGGTACTCTTAGTCTCCCATTTTATGGTTGAGGAAAGTGAGGCATGAAGAAGCATTTCCGAGGTTACTGGTTTTGTCTCCTCCCTTGGGGTGGGAAACAGGGCAGTCAATACCAGTTCATACTTTCTTCACTTTAACTCACGGAGGCCTCTAGGTGGGTGGACTCTGGCCTGGGTATGAGACCCAGAAGCAGCCAGAGCCTCCTCCCAGGCCTCAGTCTCCCCCGTGCCTGGTGAGGAGGGTCACTGTAGTTGGTCATGATCATGCCCTTCCACAGCTCCCTCCTGCAGACAGCAAAACCCACTCTGCTCAGCCTAGAAAGAAAGGCCCAGGCTATGTGCCCTCCAGCCACTTTACCAGAGCTGTCCAGGCTGCCCTTTCTGCTCCAGCCCCGTGGGACCCTTTCCATTCCCAGATGGTCTGCTACAGCCTACTGCTTCAGTGCTGCCATTGCCCACCAGGCTACTTCCATCCAGTGTGCCAAGGGTCCCTGCCCTTGAGAAACTGATGGTAAGGAGGGGGCCGCCATGCTCAGAGCTAACTGTTGGGCTCAGCAGTCTAGGGAAGTGATACCACCGATGTGCAGAGGCTGAGAAAGCACAAAGGAGGGGATGGGCAACCAAGGACAGCTTCCCAGAGGAGATGGCACCAAGCTGAACTTTGAAGGATGCATAAGAGTTCAATAGAGAAGGAGGAAGGACATGAGGAGAGCCATGCTGTGACCTCAGTGAGTCTGGTGGGACTGAAGTGCAAGTGTAGAGGCAATGTGGGCTGTCCACCAAAGAGCATCTCCCTGTCATTCTGTGCCAGGAGGACCACAGGTTTGCTCCAGAAGCAATGTACCCAGCCCCAGGGAATAGATGGTGATTGGTTTAAGCAGCCAGGCAATTCCATACCCCTTTGCCAATGTTGGTCCACATATTCTGGCCAGTGAGATGTCAAGGAAAGAATGATCTCCCTCATAAAGGAGAGGCATGTGAGGAGCATGCCCTTCTGCTCATGCTAAGCAATACCCAAAGCTAGGCAGCCACCTCGCGAGCATGGGGGAGAAAGGCTGACACACAGAGAATGGTGTGGAAAGATGGGAAGGGGCTGGGTCCTGAAAACATCAACGAACCACCAAACCAACCTGAAAAGACAAACTGCACATTTCTTGTTTAGTGAGACAGTAAATATTGATATTCTTTAGCGGCTATTCTCCAAAAAAGGTCTTCAAACTAATACAGAAGGTACAAGAGAGACAAGGCCAGAGAGCAGTCATGAATGGCAACACTGGGCACAGCCAGCAGCCTTCCCAGGGATCTTCAAAACTCTTGCCTCTTTACTCCGTGAAATAATTTTGAAACACCTTCTACTCTCTCACACAATTTTAAGCTGACATCTAAACATGTTTTACTATATGTTTACATAAATGCTTTTTTAAAATAGGAGGTAGAAATGTTAAATTTTAGAAAATGAAATAAGATGAGGATTAACCACAATTGAACTAAATATTTCATGGCATGGCTTCATAGAATAGTTTTTAGCTGTTTTGTTAAATAATACATACTGAATCCATTCCATGTGGTTTGGGAGTAAAATAAAAATAAAAAAAAATACACACTGAATTAGTTAAGAAATTAGGTAAAGTTTTATATACAGGCTTTATGTAGTATATAGTGGTCTGGGAAAACACTGTAGTTATTAAAAAAATCTTCTCACTAACTTATCCTGGATTGATTGTTCTGAATTCAGAGCAGCACACACAGAGATAATACCCAAAGGAAGAGGGGAAGCCCTACAGGTTTAAGATGGCTTAATTAGTCACTAATTGAGACTCACCCTAAATCAAATCAGGGCTGCCTTAATCAGCCCCCACTCCCACCTGCCCCCTAAATTTCCAGACAGCTCTGAAAACCCAGGCTGGATTAGATTGGGGGTATCACGAGGGTCTGTGACTTCTGTCTGCTCTTTTCCTGCCCCTTGCTCAGGCTTGCCTGCCCCAGGGGTTGGAGCTCACAAAGATCAGATGACAACTGCTGGGCTCAGGAGCTGATCTGTGCTCTGGGGAGGAGATGGCCCTTTGCACTGAGCTGAAGCAGTTTGTGGCACAGGTGCAGCCACACATAGAAGAGAACTGCTGCCTCCAAGGAAAGCAGTTATTACAGAGATCACTGCTGAAGCCAGGATGCAGGGACATTGGGGGAGGGAAAATGGGGAAGGGGACGGAGAATGAGGGAGCGTTTCCTCTGTGGTTTAACCCAACTACCAGAGCCAGGCAGCGCTGGCAGGAGTGCAGTCTGGGTACAGTCTGATTCCAGCACAGGGGGCGCTGGAGCTCAGATACTAAAGCCAAATATCCCTCTCCTCCACCACTCCCTCTCCTGGCAGTCTCTCGCCCTTGCCGGTTAGTGGATTCTTAATGAGATGGCTGCTCCAGCTCTTCTGTCCTGACTGCTGATGCACCATTTCTGTCTGCAGCTATCCTTACCTAGACTACTGCAGTCAATGCTAAGTGCCGCTTCTATTTTACCTCCAGCTTCTCCCTGCCTCCAGCCTGCCCTGAACACCTCCTCAGGTTCTCACCTGAGTGTTGTGCTGATGACATCCCTCTTCTCACACTGCTGACCAAATCCAACCCAAACATGCAGTCTGGGGATCACAGTCCTCCTGAGATGCCCCAACCTGGGTTCCCAGCCTCAGCCTCCATTGGTCCCCAGCCTGCGTTTAATGCTCCAGCCCCAGCGCTGCTCCCTAGCCCTACTGGCTTTTCTCCTTGGTGCCTTTTCTCTTCCCACAGGCATCGCCAGCTCTCTCTCCTTCCTCCTCTGTGTGTCAGAAACCTAGTCACCCTTCCAGACTTCTTTCCAAAGCCCTCTCAACCACCGAGCTTGCCCAACTCTGCCTTCCTCTCACCTCCCAAAGTACTTATTTGTAATAGGGTTCCATTTATTCTCCTAAGGACCCAATAAATGTTTATGGACTGAATAATGTTTATGTTTATCATATGTCTTGCATTGTGAATACAAACGTGAACAAGACTCAGATTCTAACTCTTAGGCCTTTCTGACTTGGAAGGCAGTTTTGCAAATAGATGTAAGCTTTAACATACAGTATGATCTGGGCTGTAGCAGAGGTGTTAACAGGTACTGTGAGGCATTCCCCACTCCCACACTTCCACAAAGGGAAGGTGGGCATGGGGAATGAGGCCAGAGGCAGGTGGGGCTGACTGTGAAGATCTTGGATGCCGGGCTGAGGATGTGAGACCACATTTTTGAAACAGCTGAGAACCAAGGAAAGATCTTAGGCAAGAGTGGGTGGCATGCTTAGATTTTTTTTTTTCCAAGAAGGTAACTAGCAGCTTGTAGAAGAGGCCTGGCATTTTCCACTGGAGTTGTGGCATTCTCATAGGCTCTAGCATTATTTTACTGGGGCTTGGCATGCAGATCCGTGTTCCCTCTACTCTCCTGAACTGATGGCAGGGCCTGGGACTCACTTGTGTCCAGTGCCTGGCTCAGAGAGGCTGGCACATGGGAGACATTGGGTTGCTGGATGTAGCAACTAAAGATATGGGCTTGTGGAATGCAGGTGAGCTGGGGTCTCCTCGGGCCTTTCAGGAAGTACCCTGGAGCAGATTCGCTTTCCTGAGTCCTCACACAGTCACTTACCCATCAGACAGGATGCCCTCCGCAATCTCACACACCAGGACGAAGAGCAGCATGAAGGTCAGGATCCACCGCAGATTGTGCCCGGGGAAATGAAGCCATGTGCTGTGGTGGATGTGCACCTTGGAGCTCTGACTGCCCCATCCTGCAGGGAGAGACAGTCAGAGGCAGGATGCCTGGCCCACCTGGAGGAGGAGGGTGCCTGAACCCCAGAAAGATGCTTGGACATTGGGTCCACGGTGGGGGTGACACCTACACATGAGGATCCCCAAGGCTGGTACATACGAACTAAACGTCCAACCCATCCAGCCTGGTCCTATGCTGGTGCCTCTCCTCCAGGCCGAATGAGACAGGGTCTTTTTTTTTTTTGAGACAGGGTCTTGCCCCGTTGCCTCTGCTGGAGTTCAGTGCCACGATCACGACTCACTGCAGCCTTGATCTCCTAGGCTCAAGCAATCCTCCTGCCTAAGCCTCCTGAGTAGCTGAGACTACAGGTGCACATCACCATGCTCAGTTAATTTTTAATTTTTTGTAGAAAGAGGTCAGGGTTGGGTGGTATCTCACTATGTTGCCCAGGCTGGTCTCAAACTCCTGGGCTCAAGCAATCCTCCTGCCTCAGCCCACCAAAGTGATGAGATTACAGACGTGAGCCACTGTGCCCTGCCCAGGTACCCGATTATACATGCTAACTTCTTGTGTGACAAGTCATCAGGTTAGTGAACCATTTGGTTGAGAACAGAAGTGTAAATGCTGTTCTTTTTTTATTTTTGATGCACATATGAGCACATATTGTGTATATTTTTCTTTCTAATTTTCTTTGTTAATAAGTAGCAACTCTGCTTCTACAGCAACCTCTTGTAAATCTAATTTTGTGGCAATCTTTCCTTTCTTCCCCAAAGCTGTATGTGAATTTTAAGATTTGCCTTTTTTCTGAAAGTGAATGAACACGTTTTAGGGAAGCAGGGGACACCCTATAAGTTGATAGACCTGACTGGTCTGGAAGAGTCAGGTCTTGGAGAGAGATGAGGGTACCTCAGTGGAGAGGCACACGCGATTGTCCCGACCGTGGCGTCCAACTTTGCAAGCAAGGACGCCGGGGTCGCTGAGTCGGCGAGTCGGAACTAATTTGCGCAGAGCCTGAAAAGTTGCGCTCCGGAGACACACGCCCGGGTGAGGTGGCGGGGGAAGGGGACCCAAGTCTCTAGCTCTCGCCTCTCTCCTCGCTCAGGGTGCGGGCCCGAGACTGTCAGAGATCACGGACCACTAAGGGGCTCAGCCGGATGAAAGCATAGGGGTGCGCGGGGCCTCCATCCCAGCCCCCGAAGCACCGGCCGCCGTCCTCCCTAGGCCCAGCAGCGGCTGACAGGGAGGGTGCCTTGGGGGAGGGGTGACCCGACTCCCTAAGCTGAGCCACGGAGGGTGGGGCCCGACCCCTGTCCACTTTCCCACCGCGTGCAGAGACCTCCTCTTTCCCTTTCCTCCATCCCAGCTCTTGGTCCTGCAGAAGCAAAACTTGGTGATCGGTGGGTCACAAACATCCGCTGTGTTTGGTGCGGGATCGGGGACACCGGGGAAGTGAAGGGATGAGCGGGTGTGCGAGGGCAAGGACCGGCGGGCAGGACATAGGGCAGGGGACCCCGGGAACGAGGCGAGCCGGTCGCGGGCCGGAAGGGGACACCAAGCAGTGCAGCGCGCAGCTCCTCCTTCTCCTCCCTCCCTGCTCTCCCGTCCCCTCCTCCGCGGCTCCGGGCGCAAGCTCACCGATGAAGAGGATGGGGAAGGTGATGAAGAGCAGGAAGACGTGCGGCACCACGTTGAGCGCGTCCACGAAGCAGCCGTTGTTGAGGACGCCCTGGTCCACCCGGTAGGCGGCCGAGTGGTTTTCGCTACCGCAGAAGGCCAGGGGCATGGCGGCGCGGACGCGGGCTGGGCTCTGGCTCCGCTGGCTCCGCTGGCTCCGCGCACCTCCCGCGCCTCCCGCGCCTCCCGCGCCTGTGTCCCTCGCAGCTCAGCCGCTCCGCCCGGCAGTCAGGCCCCCACCCTCCCCCAGGGGCCCCGCCCCGCCGGCCTCCCTTTCCCGCACCCCGCCCTGCTCCGCCACCTGCGGGGCCCGGGGGGCGGTGCGGAAACCGACCTGCCACGCCTGCGCCCGCTTTCCAGATGTAGCGGCGCGGGCTCACAGATGTTGCCTGGGTCGCTTGAGTACCCCGCTGCGCGCGCGCGCTGGGGATGAGGGGAAGGGCAGGCAGGGATGGGCAGTGGGGTGTGGGCACGCTGGAGACTGGGTGGGAAGGAGAGTGGGGCGTGCAGAAGAGGAGAGGAGGGTCCTCGTGGCCTGCAGCGGGCGAGTTCGGGGTCCCGAGTGTGAATTCACCTGGGCGTGGTGAGGATGGATGTCCAGAGCTGAGGGATGGGGACAGAGTGGCGCGTCTCCACCCCACATGGATGAGAAAAGTGGGGCAGAACTTTACCTTGGTGGGGGGGTCTTTGGACATTTTCAAAAGTGGTCCAAGGTGGGGCGTTCCTAGGTACTACTTTACACCATATCTGGCACTGTCTCACCAGGGATCTCCCAGCACTCTTGCTAAGCATATGTGCTAATCGCTTCCATTTTTCTGATGAGGAAACCCAAGCTGCAAGGGAGCTGAAGGGAGGCCAGTTACATGACTCCCCCAAGGTCTCAGTGCCAGCAAGCAGTGAAGCATAGCTTGAACCCAGCTCCTCAGGTCCCCCGTCCCCACCCCCACCATTTGTACTCAGGCCTCTGGTGCATGACAACCCTACAGCGACTGGCAGACCAGTGGGTAGAATGGGTGACAGCCCCAGGCTGAAGAAGAGGAGCTTTAGAAATGCATCTGGACAGACGGATGTGAGGCAGTGGAGAGGGACTGAAATTCTTAACCTGACCCGGAACAGGCTTAGTGGTTGGAGGACGCTGTAAAGACAGTGTTATGTCTTCCTATACATTTTGGAGAGATTCTTACAAGACTGTGGCCCAAAGAAGTTTATTTCTTATGTAGAAATAACAGAAAATGGGATTTGGGGGTTAGATTTAAGAAGAACTTTGCAAGTTAGGGATATGAAGCATAACTGCACATGTTCTCAGGAAGGGTCAGGGGAAAACAGAAGGAAGACCCCTTCAGCCCCTTTGCTTATAAGCTTCACTGAGCCTGCCCTGAGGCTGCTGAATCTGGTGGGCCTCAGGAGCATGCTGTCAGCAAGACCCAGGCTCTGCCCAGGCCCTGAGGCAGAGGGCAGGTAGGATTGGGTGAACAGCCTTGGTAAAGCAGGAGCTTAGGGTCTGAAAGCCTCAGTTTCTGGCTTTGGAAAATTTCTCTGAAGCCAAAAGATGTTTCTTTCAGCATCAGCCAAAATAGTGAAAATTTGGTGGCAGTGAATCTCCAGCACCAGGGACAGGGGTTAATTAACCTAGGAAAATGCAGCCTCTGGGAAGGTGCTAGCTGAGTATGTGTAGTCAAATAGAAAAAGTTTACGAGATAGAGTCAGGTGAAAAACGGCAAGCAAATTGTGCTTCCCATGATTGCAGCCATATGAAATATGCATGCTTGCATGAAGCCTGCAGGAAAAGGTCAGACTTGGAAATATGGTAACGTGGTGCTCAGTGGGCAATAGCCACCTTTGCTGTGGTTATCATCATCCCCTTTCTTTAAAAATGAGACGACTGAGCTTCAGAGAGATGACATGACAGGTGCAGGTCACCCAGCAAGATTTTTTCTTTTAGTTTCTTTTTCTTGCTTTCAAGGCTTTTTTCATATTTTCTGCAATGTTGTTATTTTGTTTTGTAGTTGCAATTTCAGTTTTTCACACTTTCGGCAGTGCTATCTTTCTTTCTAGCAGTAATATCATATTTACTTTTAAAGAACAGGGTTCCTAGTCCTGGCTCTACTGCTACTAGTTGTGTGATTTGGGGGGTAAGTTGCCATTCTGCACTCCAGTTTCCTTATTTCTAAAAGGAAAAGACAATAGTATGGACCCCAGAGGATGAAGATGGGATCATGGGTGTGAATGTGCTTTGTAATTTGGGGAGATGGTCTAAGCTACTTTATCCCCTGGGTGACCACACATGGCAGCCCCTCGATCAATCAGGGCTATTTAATGGTCTCTCCCTCGCCTCACAGTGCCTGGTGTAACCCTCACACTTGCCTATTCTGGGTCATTTAAAATAAACAAAAAGTCTGGTATTAAGGGAGCATCATCTGAGACTAAGAGAGTATTAAGTCTGAAGTCTTGGGAGCCAGTGTTTGCTATCTCTAGCACAAACAAACTGAACAAATTCCACCCTGCACCTAGCTCTACAGTGAGGACATGCAGCACACTGTCCACCATGTGGGTGGGAGAGTTACTTTGAAAAGTGTGGAGTCAGGTGCACACGGAGGCATGAAAGGACTTCCTTTGTAGTATATGGGTTGTAATCCTGGAGTCAACCCAAATGCTCATCAATATGGGGCTGGTTCAAACAGACAAAACCCAAACAGACAAAAACCAGGTATTGTCTGTACTGTGGGATGCTGTGGAGCAAGCGCAGAGAACAGAGTTAGGCTTACTGGCATGGGAAAATGTCCAAGACACAGACGCAGAGCAGCGTGTGGCACATAAAATCGTTTGTCTGTAACAGGGCTACGCATGCTTCTTTGGGGAGATGCTGGGTCTCTCGTGCTTCCCCATCTCCATCGATGCCTCCTGTTTCTCTTGCTAGGGGCTGGAAGAAGGTCAGACTCTGGGAGCTTGCTCTGAGCCAGGGTACCTCCCTCTGAGAATTCCCAGCCATTCTCCTGGCAAAATGAAAACCAGGGCTGGATTTTAGAGACTGGATTCTCACTCTCAATGGCTGCTGGGTGGGTGTGGCCTCAGGCAGAGTGCAGGAAAGGGGCTGGCCGCAGAGATTCAGAAAAGTCCTTTCCACATCCCTTGAGCCAGCGAGGTTAAGGCTACAGTGAGCCATGATCAGGCCACTGTACTTCAGCCTGGGCAACAGAGAGGGAGATCCTATCTCAAAAAAAAAGGTCACTTCCAGCTCTAATGTCATTCTGGCCTTAGTGCCTTTGTCTCTTTCTAGCTGACTAGGTGTGCCAGCGTTCCAATGACCATGGCAGAGAGGGTCATTGCAATGACAATGGTGACATAATGGAGTGGGGTGATATTTTAAGAAACGAACCCTTTCAATAACTCCAATCAACAGTGGGCTGCTTAAAAACAGACAAAAGCAAAACTCGCGGTGTGATCTAAACTCCAGAATAGTGGGGAACAAGTACAGGACCTGAGTTCAGGTGACCACACTGAGTGGCAGAGACATGTCCTCTTCTGTCTCCTTCAGGTGCTCCAAGCCTGTGTCCATAGGGGATTTGGGAAGACTGTAGAACCAGTGAAAGAGAGGACTGAGATAGACACAAAATGTCTTAACTGGAACCTGGGAAGGAGAAGAGATCTCCGGTCTCACTGCCATCATGCCCCATGTCAGGAGGAGGGAAGTAGGGGAAGAAGTTCTTTAGAGAGGGAGCCTGTCCCCAGCCTCCCTGCCTGTCAGTTTTAGGGGTGGCTGGGGTACAGCCACCCAGAAAGGGCAGGTTGTGTGTAGGCTGTGTCAGAAAATCCACACAAGGGCTTTTTAGGTTTTTAAAAAAATTTTGGCCGGGGACGGTGGCTCAGGCCTGTAATTCCAGCACTTTGGGAGGCTGAGGAGGGTGAATCATGATGTCAGGAGTTCAAGACCAGGCTGGCCAAGATGGTGAATCCCTGTCTCTACTAAAAATATTTAAAAAATAGTAGGGTATGGTAGTGGGCACCTGTAATCCCAGCTGCTCGGGAGGCTGAGGCAAGGAATTACTTGAACCCAGGAGGAGGAGGTTGCAGTGAGCCCAGATTGCACCAGTACACTCCAGCCTGGGCAACAGAGCAAGAATCTGTCTCAAAAAAAGTTTGTTTGTGTTTTTTTCCCCTGTAGGGATGGGGGGGGGGTCTCACTGTATTGCCCAGGCTGGTCTTGAACTCCTGGCCTCAAGGGATTCCCCTCCACCCTGGCCTCTCAAAGAGTTGGGATTACAAGTGTGAGCCACTGTGCCTGTCCCACATACACGGGATGTTTTGAAGAAAGGATTTCTTGTTCCAGGGCAGGGCCACCAGATGACAGAGGCAGGGGACCCTCAGCTGTACTTGAATGGCGGGGGTAAGGCAGGAACAAGACGAACTCTCCCCAGTCTCTTGGCACCACATAACCGGGGAGGTGGGAGAGGAATTCCAAGAAGGCCCAAGGTTAATGTTTTCCACCAGCCTAGTGGGATGGGGGCTTGATATAGATATTAAACAGCATTCTTGTTCTTGACCACTTAGGTTTTGGTCCAAGATCACCCTCACCACAGTGACATAACCCAGAAGGGTTCAGCTGACTCATGGCCTGGTTGCTCTATACCTTGAGGTCAGTTAAGGTCAAACTGAGCATCTCCTTGCATCCTCTAAAAGGGCCAACTCCCAGTTCGTTGATTAAAAAAAATGAAAGCTTTACTGAGCTCTTTACAGAGAGCTGGAAGAGGTGTAATTCACATATCTCACAGCAGAAATGTAGTAAAAGTCCCCATGTCTCCTGTCCACCAAGAGGTCTTCTCCCTTGCGTGTATCTCATATCTCCTTCCTTTCTTCCACACAGTGTCTTTTTGAAAAACATGCCCCTTGAGCCCCAGAGCAAGTCAGTATTTGCCTTCAGCTTGCTTACCCACTTAGGGCTTCTCAAGCAAGCCTCGCTCCCTTCCCAAGCTGCTGGTCATCCCCAAACCTGCTCTCTTCCTGGGCAGATTATTAAGGGGGCAGGAGGGATGAGATTTTCTTCTTTTTGTTTCACCAAGAGTTGTTGAGTGCTTAGTATATGCCAACCACTTTACGTGCTTTAAATCTCACGGTAACCCTTCCTAGTAGTTACAGCTCTCGGGAGAACCGAAGCTCAGAGAGGTTAAGCCCCATTCCCAAGTCACACAGCTGAGAGTTGGTACAGAAAAGACCCA